GAGAAAAGTCGCAGAGGTCAGGATCAGAGAAGCCGGCAGAGGTCCGGATCAGGGGAAGGCCTGCAGAGGGTTCAGGATCAGGAAGAAGCCTGCAGAGGTACAGGGATCAGGAGAAGCCTGTCATAGGACAGGATCAGGAGAAGCCGGCAGAGGTCAGGATCAGGGAGAAGCCGGCAGAGGTCAGGATCAGGAGAAGCCGGCAGAGGTCAGGATCAGGAGAAGCCGGTCAGAGGTCAGGATCAGGAGAAGCCGGCAGTCAGGATCAGAGAGGTCAGGATCTGAGAGGCAGGATCAGGCAGGGTCGGTAAACAAGTCAATCAGCATATACACAGGAACAGGAACACAGGATACAAGACCATACGGTCAATGAGAGTCTGTGGAGGGCATGTTTAAAATAACCGCGCCCTGTCATTGGTGCCGTCAGGCGAGCGTGCCCGCGATCAGGAAGTGTATATGTGCGGCCACCTAGGTCCTAGTGCCTGCCGGCTAGAAGAATCGGCGGTTCCGCGCATGAGCAGACCCGCTTGCCGCCACGATCCCTGACAGTCCCTCATATCCTTTTTCACCATTGACCCCCCCCCACCCCAGATCCTTCTCCCCCATTGACTCCTCCAGATCCTTCTCCCCCATTGACTCCTCCAGATCCTTCTCCTCCATTGACTCCTCCAGATCCTTCTCCCCATTGACTCCTCCAGATCCTTCTCCCCATTGACTCCTCCCGATCCTTCTCCCCCATTGACTCCTCCCGATCCTTCTCCCCCATTGACTCCTCCCGATCCTTCTCCACCATTGACCCCCCCCCCCCCCATCCTTCTCCCCCATTGACTCCTCCAGATCCTTCTCCCCCATTGACCCCCCACAGATTCTTCTCCATCATTGACCTCAACAGATCCTTCTCCTCCAAATCCTTCTCCACCATTGACCCCCCCACAGATCCTTCTCCAGCATTGTCTCCTAGATCCTTCTCCACGATTGACTCCTCCTGATCCTTCTCCACCATTGACCCCTTCAGATCCGTCATCATTGACTGCCCAGATCCTTCTCCACCATTGACCCCCCAGTTTGTACCCCCCAGGAGTAGTCAATACCCCAATGATGACTAAATCATGGACTAAATAAGGAAGTGCAGTACTTCTTGTGTTGGGAAGATGGCGATGAGTGATAGAGGGGGTGGGGACCCTCGTCCTATATAATCCCCTCATCACTGTCCCTCCTATAAAAGACAGTTCTGGTTGTTTCCTCACTCTCTGACTAAGGTCCATGAATAAAGAAATGACCTGGTAGGAGATCAGAGGAGCCATTTCCTAGTTCCCTTGAGGGTGGAATTGTAAGCTCCTCAGAGACCAAGCTGCCTGATGTGGGCGGAGTCCTGGTTTGGGGGAACCAATCAGCTCCTGTCTAGTAATCCTCTTTGTCTTTGTATTTTAGTCCATGGCCGGGAGATGAGGAAAACCTCCGAGGATTGTCTCACTTTGTCTCCAGACTGGAAAGTAGAAGATGAGGACATCACACAGTATAGTCCAGGAGAAAACCCGGCTCCCTCCAATGTCCATCCGGCACCACCCAGTGTAGATGGACCATCGGATTCCTCGTATCCTGAGGAACCTCAGACTGTGCGGGACCGGGCCGGCCTTCCAACAGGGAAGAGAGTTCTCCTGTACTGAGTGCGGGAAGGGTTTCAGTTATAAATCCTATCTTAATAGGCATAAAAGATCTCACACGGGGGAGAAGCCGTATTCCTGTCCTGAGTGCGGGAAATGTTTTTCATAACTAAGTCCTATCTTTCACATCAGAGATCTCACATGGGAGAGAAGCCATATTCCTGTCCTGAGTGGGGAAATGTTTTTCAACTAAGTACTATCTTTACACACATCAGAGATCTCACACGGGGGAGAAGCCGTATTCCTGTCCTGAGTGCGGGAAATGTTTTTTTCAGCTAAGTCCATCTTTCATACATCAGAGATCTCACACGGGGAGAAGCCGTATTCCTGTCCTGAGTGTGGGAAATGTTTTTCAATTAAGTCCCATCTTTACATACATCAGAGATCTCACAGGGGAGAAGTCCTGATATTCCTGTCCTGAGTGCGGGAAATGTTTTTTCAACAAGTCCCCATCTTTCCATACATCAGAGATCTCACACAGGGGAGAAGCCGTATTCCTGTCCTGAGTGCGGGAATTGTTTTTCAGAAGTCCCATCTTTCATACATCAGAGATGTCACACAGGGGAGAAGCCGTTTTCCTGTCCTGAGTGCGGGAAATGTTTTTTCACGAGAAGTCCAGTCTTTACAAACATCAGAGATCTCACACGGGGAGAAGCCATATTCCTGTCCTGAGTGCGGGAAATGTTTTTCAGAGAAGTCCAATCTTTACACACATCAGAGATGTCACACACACGGGGAGAAGCCGTTTTCCTGTCCTGAGTGTGGGGAAATGTTTTTCACAGAAGTCCAGTCTTTACAAACATCAGAGATCTCACACGGGGGAGAAGCCGTATTCCTGTCCTGAGTGCGGGAAATGTTTTTCACAGAAGTCCCATCTTTACACACATCAGAGATCTCACACGGGGGAGAAGCCATATTCCTGTCCTGAGTGCGGGAAATGTTTTTCAATAAGTCCTATCTTAACAGACATCAGAGATCTCACACGGGGGAGAAGCCGTATTTCCTGTCCTGTGTGGGGGAAATGTTTTTTCACACGGAAGTCCATCTTTCCACACATCAGAGATCTCACACGGGGGAGAAGCCACTTTCCTGTCCTGAGTGAGGGAAATGTTCCTCACTGAAGTCCTGTCTTCCTGTACATCAGGGGGTCCCACACAACCCTGGAGGTGTATTAGTGCCTTGAGTGCGGGAAATGTCTTCTAGATGAATGTTGCTGGACATCCCAGCTCTCATGTGGGGAAGAAGCCCACCCTGATATACACCTCAGATATACTCCATGGCTGATCTTCATCATGGAAGAAACAGTTGATAAGGAGATGAGAGGCCCCCAAAGACATGGATGAAGTGCAGTAAATGTCGGGGTGCAGAGTGGTCAGTAGATCCTGGAAATGAAGGACACAACTTCAGCCCTTCTTGGGTGTCGGAGTTGCGTTTCCTGATAATGATATAGCGGGTTACAGAGCTAGAAGCCGGGAGAGCCCAGATCTCGTTATCGGGGAACTTTACACAGACAACAAGAACTTCTGAAGTTGATGTCCTTCATTTCAAGGCTCTACAGAACAGTGGTGACCCCGAAGCGTCTCTCTGTCTTCAGTCCATCCTTCTCCCATCCCCCAACAGGAGGGAAGGAGAACTCCGCCCCAAACTAGGGGGGAACTTTCCTCTCATTATTTTTCCTTGGCTTCTGTGTGGGTTTGGGTGGTTGGAGGAGTGCGGCACGAGAGGGAACACAGCTTGTTGTTCTATGTCTACATATGGGGTCTGGGTAGGGGATCCACCGGAAAATATTTCTACTCTTTGATTTTGTGCAAATCGTTTCTGTTTTCACTTTGAAGGGCGATATTATGTGTGTTTTGTAAAAGGGATTGGCCCAATAGATACCACCCCACTTAGAGAATAGATGAACTAATATGACCAGCATTCATTCAGCCATGTCACATGTTGGTCTTTTCATACAGGATTTCCTATGATCATTGGCTCCATCTAGTGGCCATAATGCGGTATTAAACTGTTTTTTCCTGATTGAGGTATTTTGGAAGTAATACATCATTATGGCCACTAGAGGGAGCTGACGATTATAGGAAATCACTGAGTTTATTAAAATATGGCCAGAATTTGTCACAGCTGGACACATGCTTGTCACACTCCCCCAATATATTTTTTGCATAGACCCCTTAGTTTACTATGTTAGGGGTAATTTTCATACAAAATACCTGAGATCATACATTTTCAAACATTGAAGATATAAATTACATAAAACCACAGAATTAAACCAACCATTGATTTAAAACCAAAAATACCTCATTTGGCCTTTAGATGACGCTAAGTATCCTAGCAATTAGCACCATCTAGTGTCCAAATTGTCAGGGAACACCTGAACAATTGATTTAGCTGACTAAATCAATTGTTCAGGTGTTCCCTGACACTTTGGACACTAGATGGTGCTAATTGCTAGGATACTTAGCGTCATCTAAAGGCCAAATGAGGTATTTTTGGTTTTAATCACAGTGTCTCCAATACAAAAAATGATTTATAAAAATAACTTAATCTGAAAAATTCTTTAAGAACTCAAACAAGATCTGTGTAGGTATAGACTGCAGAGTATGAAAATCAATATTTATTTACATAAGTCACTTACAAACACCATAAACAATAGTCAGATTGTGATTTACACTGACACTAAGATGTTTCTGTAAAAATTCTAAAATAGAGTGAATTAAATTCAATAATCAGTTTCTCCCTGTAAACATCATAACCAATAAAAACGGACAATAATCTGTCTCCTGCAGAAGGAATAAACTATGCAGAATTGTCCACCAGTATGGCCTAAGAACAGGAACATTTTTATAAATGACTTAACTTGAAGTGATGTTATCATGGGGAGAGTTATTAGGTTACACAAAGGAATGTGGCAATTTGACTTACTAGTCTAAGCAAGCAAAATCAACAGAAAATATATAATTACCCTCCAAGTATCAGGTCATCTTTTTGGAGAACTGATGATCAGACTCAAAGATGGCTGCCAATTAATGGTTGGGATTGAGCTTCCACAAAATGGTCTCTCTTCTTCAGTTGATGAGTGTCTTTAGATGATCTGAGTCTGAGATGATGTCTACCTTCCAGATGGCTGTGTAGATGGTCCTCCCTCTGTGAGTGTTCCTGCCGGTTTTATCTAGTTATGACTTATACACTCATCAAATCTGAATAAACCTGGCCAGGAGGTGGAACCTTCTCTGTGATTGGGGAATCTGATTCTCTAACCCATGTTTACTCAAGCATTACCTCCCATGGCCACTGGGTGTCATCCTTGGATAAGAATTGTCTGGTCTGAGTTTATTTGGGGAAAGAAGTAACTAATCTGTGATCGGGAAAAATGAATATTTCACTATAACAAATTGGCCCTTGTGAAATCTATAGAATGCCTTGGAGAGTAGATATTATTCCTCATTTACAATCATTACGTTTTGGTGTAACAGTGATTAAATGGAGAATTGTAACTATCAGGAGGTTGGATTACATAAAGCGATTAGAATAATAGTTGTACACACAGAGGAGAGATAATAAAAAGAATAATTTGTATTCTGATCTACTGATTGATTACGGCTTTGGTAGCATGCATACAATATCCCTAACAATACCGATAAACTCCAACACACTAAATATATATCATGGGATTACAAATCAGCAAACATACCATAATATACAGGGTGCAGCAACATAACTTCCTTTTTTCAAAACGCAATAAAACACATTTTATGAATCAGAATTGTTTTTTATTGTCTTTACCCATTTCCATACCGGGCAATTTTACCCCCTTCCTGCCCAGGCCATTTTTCAGGTTTCAGCGCTCTCACACTTTGAATGACAATTGCGCGGTCATACAACATTGTATCCAAACTAAAATTTTTATCATTTTTTTCTTCACACAGCTAGAGCTTTCTTTTGGTGGTATTTAATCACCGCTGGAGTTTTTATTTTTTGCTAAATTAACAAAAAAAACCAAAAGTTTTGAAAAAAAAAACACGTTTTTCTTTGTTTCTGTTATAAAAGTTTTTACAAATAAATAATTGTTCTTCATAAATTTAGGCCGAGATGTATTCTGCTCCATGTCTTTGGTGAAAATAACCCAAATTAGGATGGATTTTTTAGTTTGTAGGGAAGTTATAGAGTTCACAAACTATGGTATAGATCTGAATATTGATCAATCCTGAAGTACTGACAGCCAATCTAATTTCTTGAGGTCCGAGAATGTCAGGACAGTACAGATATCCCCCAAATGTCAGGACAGGACAGATATCCCCCAAATGTCAGGACGGTACAGATATCCCCCAAATGTCAGAACGGTACAGATATCCCCCAAATGTCAGGACGGTACAGATATCCCCCAAATGTCAGGACGGTACAGAGATCCCCCAAATGTCAGGACGGTACAGATCTGCCCCAAATGTCAGGACGGTACAGATATCCCCCAAATGTCAGGACGGTACAGATATCCCCCAAATGTCAGGACGTCAGGAGGACGGTACAGATCTCCCTCAAATGTCAGGACGGTACAGATGTCCTCCAAATTTCAGGACGGTACAGACGTCCCCCAAATGTCAGGATGGGACAGACGTCCCCCAAATGTCAGGACGGTACAGACATCCCCCAAATGTCAGGACGGTACAGACATCCCCCAAATGTCAGGACGGTACAGATATCCCCCAAATGTCAGAACGGTACAGATATCCCCCAAATGTCAGGACGGTACAGATACCCCCAAATGTCAGGATACAGATATGTCCCCAAATTTCAGGACGGTACAGACGTCCCCCAAATGTCAGGATGGGACAGACGTCCCCCAAATGTCAGGACGGTACAGACATCCCCCAAATGTCAGGACGGTACAGACATCCCCCAAATGTCAGGACGGTACAGATATCCCCCGGTACAAATGTCAGAACGGTACAGATATCCCCCAAATGTCAGGACGGTACAGAGATCCCCCAAATGTCAGGACGGTACAGATATCCCCCAAATGTCAGGATGGGTACAGATATCCCCCAAATGTCAGAACGGTACAGATATCCCCCAAATGTCAGGACGGTACAGATATCCCCCAAATGTCACGACGGTACAGATATCCCCAAATGTCAGATGGGACTCCCCCAAATGTCAGGACGGTACAGATATCCCCCAAATTTCAGGACGGTACAGATATCCCCCAAATTTCAGGACGGTACAGATATCCCCAAATGTCAGGACGGTACAGATATCCCCCAAATGTCAGGACGGTACAGATATCCCCAAATTCAGGACGGTACAGATATCCCCAAATGTCAGGACAGTACAGATATCCCCAAATGTCAGGACAGTACAGATATCCCCCAAATTACCCCTTTTTGCAGAGTAGACAGTCCGACGTACTTCATAAAAGGAATGGCGAGTTTTTTGAAGTATTTTTTTTGTCATTTTTCGGAAAATGAAAAAATTAAAATTATTTTCACTATTTTTTTTTTTACATCCTGTCACCAGTGCAGTACAGCGTCATCATATAACTGGCATGGCGGTGATCAGGGACACTGACTGGTGACAGTATGAAAAAAAAAAAAATATATATTTTTTTTTTATTATTATTTTTAATTTTTTATTTTATTTATTTTCATATTTTACTATGACCAAAGTACTACAATGTTACCGTAGTAACATTGTACTACTTTGGGGAAGTGATCAGTAGTTTTTTTTACACAATTTGCTTATAGCAAAGAATTACTTTCCTATAAGAAGCATTTACCTGAATGACATCGATTCAGTCAGATTTTTTTTTTTTTTGCTTAGCTGTGATTTGGTCACAGCTAATCACAT